TCTTTTCTATACAAAAAACCTTGAATTTTAACCTGGGGCAGGGTAGTTTTCAGTTAATCTGATTGAGTGTTCAAAATTCGCAAGGAAGATGTTGCCGTCACAAAATCCTTTGAGAGATGAACACTCATGTTGAATTAACCGAACATAGAGTTGGAGAACATCATGAAGAATGGGTGGGCACCAAATATTTTGAGCCTTAAAATCTTTTTCTAAAAAAAACCATAAACCGGACCACATTACAACCTTCAAAAGTCCTAATTGAAGCAAGGTCATTTCGAAAGCATACTTCAACGAGATATTGTTCCTGACTCCCATTGAGTTTCAAATAGTTATGTTGGTATCATATGTTTTTCCTATACGAAATAAATGACGCTTTAACTCGCATAACTTATGCGATATCTTTTCAAAATCTTCAAGACTTACATAACTGTTGCATTAGAATTTTCATTCTCATTGTAAACTCTTTCTAACTGCAAAACACGCGTTTGATGTCAAGGAAGCTCACATAAACACCAGTAATGAGTTTACTCTTTTGAGGCTTGAAACTTTGTTGAGTAATTGGCGGATCACGTTGAGAGAATCATATCCAGGGGCATGTTAGTTGAAGACCTTAAGCATGGACAGGTTGCTTCTCCTAGTTATTGTTTTTCCCAATTTGTTTGCTCGTCTGGGGCAAAAATTCGAAGACTTTGTTGTGCCGACTACAGTCAATTCGGGGCAATCACGTCAAGGTTGGATGATTTCCTCTAAGAGTTTGAAGACACCAGAGCATGGTGAATGCCAGGTCTTTTGTAAACTCTCTTGAGACGTTTTTCCTCATCAACCAGATAGCTTGGGGCATTTTAGAAGTGAAGCTATTCGCAAGAATCGTCGTGCATCGTGCAACTCGTCAGCAGTAATTTGGGGCATCCAATATTGGACCCAGGGGCAATCTAGATTTGTCAGAATGTGTGTTATGTATTGCACACTTTATCAGAGGTTGGTGTTCCCAGTACCTCCAGCTAAGCATGACTCCTTCCAGCAGAAGATTTGTTCGTGTTGTCGACGATAGAAGATGGGACTTTGGGTTGAATATCTTCCTCTCCAAGAGATTTAAGCCTCGTAGAAGGATTTTACAGCTTTGTTGGCTTCTATCTCCAGTGATGTTCCCCTCCTTTTGAGATTAGTCGAGTACCGGGTTGTACTGTGATGTCTTATCATCTTCTGTCTATTTCCCCTGTCGTTTTGTCAGCATACACATGACATTCATTCACACTTGCATCATGCTCGCACAGTCGTATTTGTTGATGTCATTGAGTTCGTACATCTTGGTTGTGTCTTTTCAAATAACGTATTTGATCTTTCCAAATAGAGTGCCGATTTAAGCATAAAATGTGCCTCCTTTCTAATTCCCCAACTGAGCTAATCCTCGTGGGTAATTTTTGATTTAGCTTACCTTGTCCATTTCTGGATAGGATAATTTCCCCAATCGATTTACTTTCTCATTGGGAGGAGTCTTGTTTGACTGTTTTCTCTCTGGTTATTCCTGGATGAAGTTGTTGCCTCTTGCATAGGCTATCTCAGTGATTTTCCCCAGTGAGTTTGCGACCAAGACGACTGGTGCATTTATTGTGCACGTTAAATATATGATCTCCTCGGGAAGGATTGATTCAGGGTTCGCTTTGATGAAGATTTTATTCTCTGCCAATATCATCGCAGTTTCCTTCTGAATTATGTTGGAAGACGACAAGCGTTAGCTCTTCACGAGCAACTTGTACGCTAATTTGTGAAAGCGCCGAGCAGCAGTTCTTCATGAGCTACTGGTGCGTCATTTACCTCTTTTTCGAAAGCGCCGAGCAGCAGTTCTTCATGAGCTACTAGTGCGTCAATTATGACTTTGTGAAAGCGCCGAGCAGCAGTTCTTCATGAGCTACTAGTGCGTCAATTATGACTTTGTGAAAGCGCCGAGCAGCAGTTCTTCATGAGCTACTAGTGCGTCGATTATGACTTTGTGAAAGCGCCGAGCAGCAGTTCTTCATGAGCTACTAGTGCGTCGGTTATGACTTTGTGAAAGCGCCGAGCAGCAGTTCTTCATGAGCTACTAGTGCGTCGGTTATGACTTTGTGAAATCGCCGAGCAGTAGTTCTTCATGAGCTACTGGTGCGTCATTTATCTGTTTTCAAAGCGCCGAGCAGTAGTTCTTCATGAACTACTAGTGCGTCATTTACTTTTTTCTGAAAGCAACAAGCAGCAAACTCTTCATGAGTTACCAGTACATTATTACTTTTCGGGAATACAGCAAGTGGTAGCCTCTTTATTTGAGCAACTTGTGTGTTATCAGTATTTTCTTCTGGACGACAGCAAGTGGCAGCTTCTTTATTTGAGCAACTTGTGTGTTATCAGTATTTTCTTCTGGACGACAGCAAGTGGCAGCTTTTTTTATTTGGGCAGCTTGTGTGTTATCGGTATTTTCTTCTGGACGACAGCAAGTGGTAGCTTCTTTATTTGGGCAGCTTGTGTGTTATCGGTATTTTCTTCTGGACGACAGCAAGTGGCAGCTTCTTTATTTGAGCAACTTGTTTGTTATTGGTATTTTCTTTGGACAACGGCAGGCGGCGGTCTCTTTATTTGAGCAACTTGCGCGTTGTTAGTTTTTTGGAAAACAGCAAGTGGCAGCTTCTTTATTTGAGCAACTTGTATGTTATTGACACCCATGGATGGCCAGTGGCATTTTTCTTTATTTGAACAACCTTCGTATCTACAGTCTTATTACCTCAGCATTCACGAGTATCTCTGAAGATCTAACAGGGAAGTCTGTTACGAATCTGTACCTCCAGAAGTCGGTAATCTGTTATCAGCAATTTGATACTCTCTGTCTACCGTCGACCTTGAGTTGCGAACTCACTGTTTTGGATCAATGATCTGTTATGGCCTATGCAAGATGCTCTCTTCGTTAGGGTTAGAGATCGTATTCCCTCAGTTTTTATTCGCTGTCAGGAGTCTGTCGTTTGAAGTCGATAGCTCGTTTTCCCCAGTAGCGTATAATTCATGTCTCTGTGTTTTGTTGGTGTTCGACTCCTCCAACCTTGTCTTGTTTCATACAATATCTTTCTCGGTGAATTCATGCACTACATTCAACACTACATGATGACGGCATCTTAGGACAAAATTTGCGTAATTATGTATTTAAGTACCTTCAATCTCGTCGAGACGAAGACTTTAATCTTCATATCTCCGGATAGAAGGAACTTAAATAGGGGCAGCTGTTGTACCCCAAATTTTGACCTAAGACACCGTCTTCCATCTGCATCATTCGCATTGCAGAGGTTTTGACCTATTTTATCAAATTTTCAAAGCAGTTTAAAAATTCATAACTTTTTCGAGTCGGGAGCTGTTTATTTGTTGAACGCTAAATTTATTAACTGATCAAGACTTAAACAATGTTCATTAATTATTTATTATTTTAAATTCAAATAATTGGAATTTATTTTCGATTATTACGTAATTTAAAGACTTATAAATAATAAAAAGAATATTTGAGAAAAGGTTTATTAATGGGTCAAATAATGTTTATTAATTATTCATTATCCTAAATTTAAATAATGGGAACCTGTTTTCCGTTATTATATAATTTGAAGGTTTATGAATAATGAAATAAACATTTGAAAATGAGTATATTAATTGATCAAGCAATGTTTATTTTGATTATTTATTGTTCTAAATTTAAATAGCTGAAATTCTATTTTTCAAGTTATTATAATTTAGAAGAATTAAAAATAATAATAAAATAAATAATTGAAGTTATTAATTGATCAATGATGTTTATTTATTTGTTTATCATTTTAAATTTAAATGATTGGATTTGATTTTTAATCATTATATAATTTAAAGAATTATAAACAATAAATAAATAATTGGAAAGAAAAAGAATTAATTGAGAAATAATAGAATTTTTATTCACTTTATTCTATTTATTACAATTGTCATTTAAATGTTGTATTATTACAAAATATTTATAAAGACAATTACATAAATGCTTAAAGTAAATAAAAAGCTATTTTTCTAAATTCTAATTCTAAATCTTCAATCCAATGCTCTTGTTCGCTCATTTAATTTTACCTGCAAAAACGATTAAAAGAAAAGTCAGAATTTAATAAATAATTAAAATGCAGAAAAATAAATTCAATGTTCATCATTAAAAGCAGGCGGCTGGAATCAGTTTACCCTTTTTTGCAAATCACGGGATTTCTCCCGGTTCACAAAAAAGGGAGGAATTTTTGTTTCATAAATGAATGCACAGTTTAAAACATGCACAAATTCATTTTTATTTTTCAAAGCTGCATATTTAAAATTAATTGCATTTTCCAAAAATCCAATGCATATTTCAAAAAAACACAGCATACAAAGTAACAGCATATGCATAAGCATGCATTGTTCAAAAGGCAACGTGAACCTATGCAACAACTTGAGAAGAGTCCAAAAAATTAGGCTCCCATGCAAGACAAAGAGTAATATGCAGCTTAAATCAATGTGTGCAAGCAAGTGTTTTCCTTTTTTTTCATCATCTTCCAGCCTGCTTTTTCAGAATACAGCAGTACAAAATATCATTTTCATATATCAGTTTTGTACTTGAGGTAGAGAGAAGAAGAGGTTTAGTTTTTGCAGGTTTTGCTTTAAGCATGAATTGGGAATAAAGTCAAACATATGGAGCAGCTTATATGCAGAACGTCAGAAAATATTAATATACTAAAAACCTGAGCCAGCAGGAAGCAACGGCTATTTTTGCAATCCCTTCAAAAAGAGAATGGTAACCAGCATATCAGGGAACCATTCTGCATAATTGTTGAACCATTTTTTTCTGCATATTCTAAAACCTTAGCATTTTTTCAAACATCCTGCATATTCTAAAAAAACTAGCATATTTCAAACATACTGCCATCATCAAAAAACCTTAGCATATTTCAACATTGCTACTGCATATGCTAAAACCTTAGCATATTTCAACATAGCTACTGCATATGCTAAAACCTGCGTAGTCCATTGCAAAACATATTCCCTTTCCACACCATAACCACCACTGCATAGTCCATTGCAAACCATATTCCATTTCCACACAAGACATTACTGCTAAACCATTTTTGCATAGCATATTGCAAATCACAAGCATAACCTGTATCAAAACTATTCAAAACCGTAACACAAGGCAAAAATCACATACTGCATTAGAACCATTTTTCAAGCATACGGTATCAAAACCATAGCCAAAGCAGTATAATCATAAACCACCAAAAAATCAATTATTCATATTCCAACCAGTTTTAGGCGAAGAAGAAGAGAAGAATTAGTGGCAGAAAGCAAGGAGCGAGAAGTCTTCGGAGCTTACCTGACTTCGCCGGAATTATACCGTCGGACTAGCTCCGACCATGTGAGTTTTCTTCAGCTTTTCGCATAAACCTTTATACCGTTGCGTTGCCTTTGTCTCACTTAATAATACTCTCTTTAATTTTCTGAAATCATGAAAAATGGCCATTCAACGTCATTACAGTTTTAAATCGAAAACAAAACCTTCATTTCACAAAAACACACAATTCAAAAAAATCTGAATTTTTAAAAAAAGAAAAGAAGCGAAGTACCTTTAACCTTCATCCGCTCGCTATCTACTTTATCCCCATCAATCATCACCTTCTTCAACTCTAATACAACCGTCCTTCTTCTCCCGCTCAAATCGATGGAAGAACCGGTATTGCAACAGATTTTGGCTATCTGTCCTTGTTTCCTGACTTTGGTTAATGGAAGAAGTGGAGGATCCCCAATTTAGACTGGATTGATAGTGTCGTGTACCTGTACAGCAACTTTTACGAATAGTTGCTAGTTGATGAGTGTGAGCAACAAGCCAAATCAAACCCTTCCTTGGGTGCAGCCAATCTGTAAAAAGGAACAAACCAGGAGAATAAATGACAATGTGCGTAATGAAAATCATGTTGTAACATAACCCGGTAACTCAAGCGAAAAATGATTCATCGACATTAATATGGAAATAGATAGCAAATTGGCAACATTCATTGAAAATATATACAACATTATAGCTTGATACTTGATACAATTGTTCATTACAACTTCCTATGCTAATGAACTCAACAGACAAGGAATTCTCAAAAGTCTGAATCATGATGCAGACCTGGATAAGGAATTTTCAAAGTAAGAGTCATGCTACAAATATGGATAGGCAGTCAAAATTGTTAGTTCAATCCCTATATAAACATTGCTTCATCTTCTTTTAAAGGGAGAGAATTATTTTCACAGATGAAAAAAATCAAAAAAGACTCAAAACTCCCTCTCTGAAAACCAACTTCCGAACAAAAACGCAGCAGATAATAGAAAAGAGAGGATGGAGTTCATAATGATAAAACCTTCAGACAAAAAAACTCACCATAAGTTTTCCTTCAAACTCTCCCTTTGATCCATCGATTCATCAATTCACAACATCCTTCAATCTCTTTCATCATCACCTTCATTCTTCACCATTTGGATAATCACTAGAAAACTCCATAGAAAATTCCAGAAAACTCTCTCCTCCTGAAATCTTCATCACGCGATTTCATCTTCATATTCATACACCTTCAACCTTCTACTTCATTCTTCAAGATTCCTTCAATCATCATTGCACCTCTTCAATCTTTGATCTTCTTAATCGCACAGTCATCGCAGTAGATTCATCATCAATTCTGCAACCACATCATGTGCAACAATCACACATACAACATACAGTGAGACGCAAAATAGAAGTAGAAGAGGTTTCAATCGTATCAACTTTGAAGAGAGGAGAATTGAAGCTTACCGGTAACCTCACAAGACCCAATCGCTGTCTTATCCAAATTCCACTGCTCCAATCGTTTCCAGTAACAACGTCCACCACCACGTCTGTCCGCAACTCGCCACGACCTCCAATCTCCTCCGCGCAAGCCTTTCTTCGTTCCCTTCATAACAGCGAACTCCTCCATTTACGTCTCACGATCTATCGTTCTTCAAGTCCGGCGGCGGCCATGGCTCCAGCGTTCCAGGGGTTCCAGCGGCGGCGGCACGCCTAGCGTTTCTTAGGGTTTGTTTTTTTTTCGCTTCAGCTTTGTTTTTTTCTCTTCCTGGGTCTGGATCTTTCCACGACCCGCTCCCCATTTCCCTCACCCGCTCCACTCTCTTCAACTAAGCCCATTTTTCTTTTTACACTTAAGCCCTTTCTAATTGCAATTCACACCCCTTTGTCTTCATAGACTTTTAGTTTAATTCTATTCTATTTCTTAACCTATTTTAATTTTAATTAATTAGTTTCTTAGAAATAACATATAATTTTAATAGATAATTTTAATATTTCACCCAAATTTTATTTAGTTTAAATTTATGTTATTTAATAATTTTAATTTTACTTATTTCTAATTCAATTTAAATTCATGGTTTGTGAGTTTAATTTAAAAGATATTTAATATCTCTAAAAACATATAAAATGAGAAACTAAAAGGCATTTTATTTTATTCCCCTCATTTTGATCAAATACCAATATACAAAAAGACATAAAAAAATAGAAACATATAAAAACCTTAAAAAACATTTCTATTAATTCTCGTCCATGTTAAAATGCGTAACCAATTAAAACATTCTTTCTCTTCATATATTAAACAAAAATCATACAAAAATGCATGTTCATATTTAATTGTTGTATATCATTTTCTGTCAATTATTCTATTGCACTTGTTTATTCTATTTGCACCAATCCAAAGGGAATTGTCTAATTTTTTGTTGACTTCATGTCCTCAAAAATGATCGAGCGAATACTCTCATTCATTAAAAACTTAGGTTAATTTTCCTCAAATATTCACCTTTCTTCAAAATTTCAACCTTTTCAAGACTCATCCCTTTTAAGCCAAAACTTCGACATTAGGTCGTCGTATCTTCAAAAAAACCGTCCGTATCCCTTTTTTCGGCCAAAACGATTTATTTTCAATCAAGCGATCAATTTTAAATAAAACAGATATTTCAAAAGGTTCCTATAGAGTACTATAGATGCATTGGGTGCTAATACCTTCCCATTGTATAACCAACCCCCGAACCATAAGATCTCTTTTCAAAAACGCTTTGTATTTTCAGTATTATTTACATTGCATATTTAGGGTTTTATTTCGCTCTTTTCCCTTTTCCTTTGGAAACAATAAAGCGCGGTGGCGACTCTTGCTTTTGCGAGACGAATTAATCAATAATTCGATCTCCGATTTACCCCGCTACATTTTTTTATCGCTACAGTCATCCCCAGTGAAGTCGCAACTGAAAGATCATCCCCAGTGGAGTTCATTCCTTTCACAAACAGAAACTCAAATCCCCAACAGGATTCAATATCACCAGCAACGATAATTCATCCCCAGCTGAATTTATCGGTGGAATCCTTAGCAGAACATCTCTTCCCCACAGAGTAATCTCCCCATCAGTTTATCCCCCAACGGAGTTATCCTCTCCTGCAGGTCTATTCTCACAATCATCTTCATTCGCTACCCCCAGCGGAAACGAAGAATTCAACTCTTTTCTCCTACAGCTATCCGGGATTTATTTTCCCCAGCTAAAAACATTACATTTCCATACATCATGACACATGCATATACGCATCATACAACACAATCTCATTTATTTTGAAAACACCATTGCCTGATACATATCATGCATTACATACAACTAACCTTTACCTTTCAGGAAGGATGCAATTAAATTATCATAAAATTCAAAGCTATGAAGCTTTTATCTCAGTCGAATTACTGACAAGTTCTTAAATCTCAGCAGGGATGTTTTTCTCAGTTGAATTACAGGAAAGGTCCTAAATCTCGACAAAGTTCCTCCGTCGAATTACAGATAGGTTCCTAAATCTCAGCAGAGAAGTTTTCTCAGTTGAATTACGGGCGAGTTCTTAAATCTCGATGAATATGTTTCCCTCCAGTCGAATTACTGACAAGTTCTTAAATCTCAGCAGAGATGTTTTTATCAGTTGAATTACAGACAAGGTCCTAAATCTCGACAAAGTTCCTCCGTTGAATTACAGACAGGTTCCTAAATCTCAGCAGAGAAGTTTTCTCAGTTGAATTACGGGCGAGTTCTTAAATCTCGATGAAGATGTTTCCCCAAGTTGAATTACTGACAAGTTCTTAAATCTCAGCAGAGATGTTTTTCTCAGTTGAATTACAGACAAGGTCCTAAATCTCGACAAAGTTCCTCCGTTGAATTAAAGACAAGTTCCTAAATCTCAGCAGAGAAGTTCTCTCAGTTGAATTACGGGCGAGTTCTTAAATCTCGATGAAGATGTTTCCCTCCAGTCGAATTATTGACAAGTTCTTAAATCTCAGTAGAGATGTTTTTCTCAGTTGAATTATAGATAAGGTCCTAAATCTCGGCAAAGTTCCTCCGTCGAATTACAGACAAGTTCCTAAATCTCAGCAGAGAAGTTTTCTCAGTTGAATTACGGGCGAGTTCTTAAATCTCGATGAATATGTTTCCCCAAGTCGAATTACTGACAAGTTCTTAAATCTCAACAGAGTTTTTCTTAGTTGAATTACAGACAAGGTCCTAAATCTCGACAAAGTTCCTCCGTTAAATTACAGACGAGTTCCTAAATCTCAGCAGAGAAGTTTTCTCAATTGAATTTTGGGCGAGTTCTTAAATCTCGATGAAGATGTTTCCCCAAGTCGAATTACTGACAAGTTCTTAAATCTCAGCAGAGATATTTTTCTCAGTTGAATTACAGACAAGGTCCTAAATCTCGACAAAGTTCCTCCGTTGAATTACAGACAGTTTCCTAAATCTCAGCAGAAAAGTTTTCTCAGTTGAATTACAAGCGAGTTCTTAAATCTCGACGAAGATGTTTCCCCCCAGTTTGTTAGAACAAAGTTTGAATCTACTACCCTAAGTTTAAGTTTTGATGATAACAAAATGAAAAGATATATTAATTATGTGATTCATGTAAGAACTATTTTCTACCTAAAATATTACTTTCTGTTTTGCAAAAACTCTGATAGGAACCAGCAAGAGTACATCTTAATCAGCATCAGAATATTGGATATCAACATCAGCATCAGAAGTTGCTATATCAGAATACCAGAATCAGAAGAACAACTCACGCTTATGCTGAAGCTTGATGAACAGAACTGCGCTCAACACTCTGATCTCTGATAAAGACAACAACAGTTCATCAGCACTTAAGCAGCGTCAGAATGAGCCAAAGCCAGAACACGCTTTCAGTAGCAACGGTACTGTGCATTCAAGACGAGTTATTACCAACGGCATCATTCCAGACAAGATCTGCTTAATAAGGAAAGTTTTTTATTGGCATTGAATCAAGATTATTGCTCCAACGTTCATCAATTTCAATGCTATATAAACAAGACAATGAAGATTGAATTGGCTAATGCTCTACAACAACTTCCACGCCTAAAAGCTATTCATCATCTTCTTATTCTCAGTTTGCTAAAAGCTCCAAAATTCCTTACTCAATTATTTTAGCAATCTAGTTTTCAATAAGCTTAAGTTGTGTAATATCACAGTTGTGATAAACTGTTTTGTAGAAAACATTCACACACCTAGATTTCAATTCTTTGTAAGAAAGTGATTCCTTGACAAACCGGTTTATGGTTTGCATCAAGAAGGCTTTAGCAGTTGTTAAAGCAGATTGTAATATTCAGTTGAATATAGTGAATTAAGACCTCGTTGGAGAGAGGCGAAATCACCTTGACGGGTGGACTGGAGTAGTTTGAGATCAAATGAACCAGGATAAAAATATCGTGTTCATTGCATTGATTTTCAGTTTTACAATTCAACCTCCCCTTCTTCCGTTTTTCACTTCTTCAATTGGCATCAGAGCGCCTGGTTCTGAGCTAAAACACCTAACCGTGTCAGTACAAGATCCAGCGTCAGAAAAACACAATGGCGGGAACTTATTCACACACCAGCAATGACAACCATGAGGACAGAGACAGATTCAACGGCAAACCTCCAGTCTTTGATGGAGAAAATTTTGATTACTGGAAAGACAGAATTGAAAGCTTCTTTCTAGCACATGATGCTGATCTGTGGGACATGGTGACAGATGGATACACGCACCCTGTGAATGCAACCGGTCAGAAGATTGATAGGAAAACAATGTCTGACCAACAAAAGCGTGACTTCAAAAATCACCACAAGGCCAGAACCATCCTTCTCAGCGCCATCTCGTATGCTGAATATGAAAAGATCTCTAACAGAGACACAACTAAGAACATGTTTGACTCACTCAGAATGACGCATGAGGGCAACGTTCAGGTCAAAGAAACTAAAGCTCTGCCGCTCATTCAGAAGTATGAGGCATTCAAAATGGAAGAAAGCGAATCCATTGAAACAATGTTCTCAAGATTCCAGATTTTGGTAGCTGGTCTCAAGGTTCTGGACAAAGGTTACTCTACTGCTGATCACGTCAAGAAAATCATCAGAAGCTTACCAAAGCAGTGGAGGCCAATGGTTACAGCTCTGAAGCTAGCAAAAGATCTCAACAAAATTTCTCTGGAGGAACTTATCAGCTCCCTCAGAAGTCATGAGATAGAGCTAGAAGATGATGAACCTCAGAAGCAAGGTAAGCCTTTAGCATTAAAATCTAACATAAAATCTGAGTCTAAAGTTTTACAGGCAGTTGGAGAAACATCTGATGGATCCTCATCAGAAGAAGATAAACTTTCTCTCCTCTCCAGAATAGTGAATCAACTGTGGAAGCAGAGGCAAAGGAAGTTCAGGAATCCCAGAATATCTGATCAGAACGAGTCTTCTTCCAGATACAGAAGGACAAATACTTCCTCTGGATACAGAAGATCTGAAGGCTCCTCAGGAAGCAGAAAGCCAAACACCAAGGACATCATCTGCTATGAGTGCAATGAGCAAGGACACTACAAGAGTGATTGCCCAAAGCTTCAGAGTGAAAAGCCCAAAAAGAAGTTTGGAAGAGAAAAGAAGAAAAGTCTCATGGCTACATGGGATGACTCTGACTCGTCTGAAGCTGACTCGGAATCAGATGATGTGAGAGCAAACATAGCTCTCATGGCCAACATTTCAGAAGATAGTGAAGCTTCTGAATCAGTCTCAGAATCAGATACTGAAGAGGTATTTCTTGACTTTGCTGT